TGTGATTAAGATATATATTATTTATATGAGGTATTTTCTTATTTCATATTAATTGTTATTTTTTTTGTATGCATTAATATCAACAATGTCCTTAAGATGTTCATTATATCAAATGGTAATAATAGTCATTACTATTAATGAGAATTGTACGATGCGATAATAGTATTCTTAAATTATATATCTAATAGTCATATATATAGATGGGACATCAATGATAAAAGAATTATCATATATGATACTTTATTAAGTGGCAAGATTTCTTTTTACAAAATCATGTATTAAATGTGGGTAACTTAAAATAAAAATAGAAGAGAAACATTAAAAATAAAAGGAGAGAAAGAAGTTCTAAGGCATGGTACGTATCACTATCCTTAGTACTTTAAAATGCCCTCATAATATAATAGAACTTAAGAACTAAATTCCCTCTAGAGAAACTATGAAAATAATAGAATTTCTCATACATAGTTCAATTTAAACTTGCATATATTTATTGATATTGAAGGGGCATAACCAAAAATTAAATCATACCTGGCCTTCAGACCTAGTGACAACTGCTACAATGAAAGGTGCATTCCCCTCCCCTTGGGTGGGTTCGACCCGCCCCATAACCATTTGTTTAAAAAAAAATTGAGTCATTAACCAAAAGTCATAACCTTTCAACACAAACATGATTTTAAATAGTTATGTTTATTCATTCGAACTAAATAAACATATACATTTAAATTCGCTCTCATTACTTAGGATATAATTTGTCTACTAATGTCAAGCCAACAATATCCAACAAGTACAAACTAACATCACATAATGTTTAGGAATATTATTTTGATGCACATGTTTAGGAATATTGCTTATGCACTCCAATAGCATTTATAAATGCCCCACTTCTCCCATGAAACCCAACCACCTTTGCATTACTACAAGTTGAGCTGAATGCCCTACCAATTTCATCACCAAAAGGTCCATATTTTCCCTTGTTTGTGTAAAAGGTTATTGATCGCAACACTTCATAGCCGTCGCTTCCCTCGGTTGGCCCAAAATACCCAGCAACGTCAACAAGGTGCTCACTCGACTCCAGTTTGATCTGCAAATTAAACAACAATAAGTTAGATTCAATGAGTAGTATTATAATAAAAAGACAAACAAGGGAACACTAACTCTATGTATGTCACCGCCAGAACCATGTCTTTTTGACAAAAAAGACTGCCCATTACTTCTCCCATACAATATCATTATTCCACTAACAGTGGTCTTCCCCACAAATAAAATGAGTTGACGAATGCAAGAAAATACACCGTCATCCCAAGTGTTGCCACCATCCCCTCCCCACGGCCCGGGGTCTCGTGGCAGAACCACGTTGTCCGTTACATTGTTAACCTGTGTACATGAGTCTGTTAAGCCATATAATATAACAAGATAAAGACCTCTATACTAACATTGCAATGGTCTAGCCTTTTGTTTTACCATTTTGCCTTGACCTCGAGTTGTGAATGTGGTCCTGGGCTCTATGTAGAACCCTATTGCGTCGAGATGTTTTCCAGCACGTCCATGGAATCCAACAATGCTACCGCCTTCAATTGGTAAAGTAAAACGATATCCTACCTCCCAACCATACGGTCCATATTTCTTTCGATTTGTTTGGAAGTGAAGGGATCTCAAAATACCTCCAAGAGAGAAAAAAGGGCCGACAGTCCCACTAATACAAGTTAGGTACTCGTTTGGCCAATCAATGGAAACCTACATAAGAAGTATAATTTAACAAAAGCTAAAAGGAAAACGCCATTTTCCTGAAGAAACTCTCTTCACTAACCTTATGCTCACTTCCACCATCACCACCAAATCTCAGGGAATCTTCACTACCATTCATGTCATTGCATTTGAAAGAGATACAATCTATGGCCCATCCTGAGCGGATTATAATTTCTATAATCTCTGCTTTTGGATGGTAGCTCCAATTTGTCCCTCCTTCACCACCCCATGGGCCCACTTTAATGCATAAATCCACCATGGTTGAACCTTTCCTATTAACACAACATTTAGGTAGAAATTAAAAGATTTGCAATATATTGGCAACAGGCCCGACGATTGTAATCCCCTCTGGCCATAATTACTATCTATAGTCCGAGAAAAATATTTGTTCCAAAAAAGAAAAAAAAATTGTAATTGTAGCAACTCCTACAGCAGCACGCATCAAACTGACAATTCCATTTCATTTCAGACTCTATAGATTTGAAAGACATATGGTTATTAAGCTTGAAAAAAAATAAAAAATAAATAAAGAACTGCCTACTCCTTGTAGGTTGTATCCCTAAAACCTAAATTTAGCAATTTAGGCCCAACAATTTAAGTGCACTTGATCCTTTGGCCAATAAAAAAAGAAAAGAAAAAGACATGATTTGATCAAAACGCTGCATATCAGATGTGAAAAACACAACAGAACAGCAATTTGAATCAGAAGGCGATTGTGTAACTTTCCAATTTTCCAAAGGCTCAACAATTAAAATATTCAAGTTAATCGAGAACTCAAGTGTTGATCAAAAGACACACTTGGTCTTGTAGACTGTTTGGTAATGGTGTATATCACCTAACCTTATAGGTTGGGTTCAATCCTCCTTCCCTCCAAAAATTGCCCTTGATAAAAAAAAAAAAAGTGTTGATCAAAAGAAACAAATCTAGAACTACTCAAGTTTTTAAGTTCATTTTTCGTCTGACACTTTGATTAAAAGAAACCAAGCTTGATTTCTTCTATTACTTTTTAATCGCTTAACTTTCCTGAAAACAAAGTAAACAAGTCAGAACATCTATTTAAAAATCATGACAGAAGTAATAATAATAATAATAATTTGTCCACATCAAAAAAAATAATAATAATAATTTGCAGCTACTCCTCTCTTTTTCTTTCTTTTACACCCCACTTCTCCATATCATTTTTTAATTTTAATTTCCTTTTTTCAAAGTTTTCAAAGTAGAACCACACCTCAAAACCCCTTTTTTTACGGAACTTTAAACTTAGGAGAACCACACCTCAAAATCTTTTGAGATAAGGGATCAGTCAAATAATCTCAAGAAACGAGCTTTTAGACTCAATGGTTCGATCCCAAATTTTAGTGTTTGGATGAGACGGTGGTCAGAACTTCGAGCTTTACCACCATCGTAAACTCCACCAAAAAATGCTTGATGGCCGTGCACCTCATTTGAGAGGATAGAATGTTCACCCAATCTAAAAATCTCAGTTGTTAACAATTAACTAATACTAACTTTCTAACCATTACCTTTGTAAAAAAAAAAAAAAATCAAATAATCCCACACCAGAACATTTTATACTTCTGATATTTACTATCTAAGTCTCAAGTCAAATAATCCCACACCAGAATATTTTATACTTCTGATATGTGCGATCTAAGTCTCATATATGCCTTGCACCTGGCCTTTTTGGTTTAATGGCCATAAGCCATATTGTAGGTGCACCCAACTCAAGAATTGAGTCTCGGATCCCCCACCCCAAAATTATAACCTGCTCAAAAAAAAAAAGTCTCATATATGCCTTGCAATCAGAAACGTAACGATCCGTTAATCAGAACTTCAAAATAGCAAAGAAAACTAGGGCATGCATTTAGTTATTCCATAAACTAAAAACCCCTGCTTCCAACTTACCCACACCAAAACCAGCTCGATGTATACCTCCACACGGTAAAGCAGAATTTCCTTTGGTTGCTATTTTTAGAACGAAAATGAGTGGCTCTGAAGTATGAGTTTGGATCGGTGCTTTGGGGTCTCTCCCTCCCCTTAGATATTTAGATTAGATTTCCCTCATAAGACGTCTTGAAAGCCGTCCGGTTTCTGGTTTTATTGATTTAACCAGTTGGACGGCTTAAAACGCATTATGGTAAACTAATGGTCCCTGCCCGTGCCCTAGTTATGCGCGAATTTTATTCTAAACTTTTGTTTCATGGAGATATTTTGTGCCTTAATTAATATTTATTATATATTTTGAGATTTTAAAATTTTTATGCATAATTGCCAACTACTTAAGTAATTCAATGATATCTCCTTTCGTCGTTGGAAGTAAAAAATTTTAAATTTAAGTCGCATGACATACGGATGAGATGAAATAAGAGATGGAAGATGAAAGATGAAAGATAATTGTTTCTCATTATACAATCAACATAAAAAAAATTATACACAACTAGACGATTAAAAAATTTTAAAAATAATAATTAGATAGACTTAATAGATAAAATTAACAAAAAGACAACAAATATATATATATATATTATCATAGTCAAAATGAAAAAAAAAAAGTACAAAAAATAATTTACAGAAAAATTTTGTCATTTAACCAAATTAAGTTTCTCAAAAAAAAAAAAAAAATGCAGTTAAAGAAGGCAAACAGGTTCTTCTCTAGCAAAAGCCTATGTTAAGCTTTTAAATTTAATCAAAATTTTTTATTAAATCTTTAAATTTTTATTAAAATAAGTTTCTCAAAAAAAAAAAATGCAGTTAAAGAAGGCAAACAGGTTCTTCTCTAGCAAAACCCTATGTTAAGGTTTTAAATTTAATCAAAATTTTTTATTAAATCTTTAAATTTTTATTAAAATAAATATGTTTCATTTTTACAACAAATTTAAAGCTTATTTGTGTTTTGTTTATTTTAATAAAATATTAACATATCATTACTTATATGTTGATTATTAATTTTACCCATATAAATAAGATATAAATAAAAATTAAATTGATTTTAAGAAAGGATTTTTGGGATCTCTCTTCCTTTGGGGGAGTTTCTTTTCTCCCCTAGTTCATCTTTAATCTATCATTATATCTAATCTATTCTATTTTCATTTTTATTTTTAATTTGGCCGCTTGATTCATCATATCAGATTGTGGCTAGTTTTGGTTTTTGCTGCCGATCACATCTTGCAATTAAGGTTTGAAGCATGGTGTCATTCTAGTGTTCGTGAAGGATGGCTAAAAGGATTTCCACTTCCATGGTGGTTCCGAATGGCACAACAAATCCAGTGGAGGAAGATCTTAGTTTATTTTTGAATAGCATTCATCTGTTAGAGAAGAAGGGGAAGTTCCATTAGTTCATGAATGGAACTCATCGATGAATAACGAGGGTTTGTATTTGCTTGGCAAAGTTCTTACCAAGAAAAGGATTAATCTTATGGGTTTCACTAGCGCCGTGAACCCCTCTTGGAAACTAACGCATGAAGTGAAATCATTGGTGTTGGAGAGATTTTTCTTATTTTAATTTTCCAATAGATTTGATCTAGATAGGGTTTTATAAAAAGCCCCATGGAACTTTAGCAACTCCCTTGTTATTCTAAAGGTACGTTTGAGATTGTTGTGAGGTGCTGTGACAGTAATTATAATTGTAATTATGGTTATGCTAAATTGTGTTGTGCTGTGTTATAATTGTGATTAAAAGTTATTTTAATATTTGATTATTTATTTTTTAATAATATTATTTTAAATTTTTTATGATCAGTGTTTTTTTCAATTTTGTAAAAAAGCAACTCATAAAAAGATAATGAGTTTTTAATTGTTTTATAAAATCTTCAAATAAACAAAAGGTTAAATTTAAA